GAGCACAGGCACACCTGTGTCCGGACAGGCGTCCGTTTCGCTGCCTCTGTACAGGACAGAATGGCACTGGGCTCTGGATCCCAGATGTGCTGTGTGTGAGAAGTGTGCTGAGCTGTGCTGGTGTCCATCTGGTTGTCAAGGGTGGTGGTGGTGGGCGGGTCTGTGGTTGTTGGGTTGCCGTGGCGCTGGGTGTCTGTTGCCACAGCAGCGATGTGTTGCCATGGCGCTAGATGTCTGCCGCTGCGCCTGCAGATGTGCACGTGTGCTCGACGAGGAGATCTCTCAGGTGACAAGTTTGCAATGTCCTTCTCTTGTGTTGTCGCCCCCTGTCCCCTGGTCTGTGAACAGGGTGAAGTCAGCAGTCGGCACCAGCGATGGAGGCAGCGCTGAGGACTCGGATATGGAGCGCATCAAACAGGTGAGCACAGGATCTCTCTTCCCTCCAGGGGGCGCCTCCCCTCATCGTGTGCAGTGTGGGGGCTTGACCCCCCCCCAACCCCAGTTTCACCCAGAACTCTCACCCAGACGTACCCCGGTTCTAGAAGACGAGCCAGGTGTTCCCTCCTCCCTGTGCTCGACCCGGTGAGACGGTGAAGTCTTCACTGCATATCCAAGGGAGGGGCTGTAGCCAGTGGCCACCCGCAGTGTTAGTCCAGCCTGGTCCCAGCGGCTCTGACCAAGAGTCTCCCTTTGTCCCCGCCCGCAGGAGCTGCTGGAGGAGGTGCGGAAGGAGCTGCAGAAAGTCAAGGAGGAGATCATTAGCGGTAAGCACTCACCCCTGTCTGCTGTCGTCCCTTGGAACTTGTGAGTGCAGGCTGCACCACCTGCCACACGGGGAAACGACAAGCTTTTGTGTTGTTTTCTTTTTAAAGAAAAAATAAGAATGCAGCAGCAAAATAGGAACCAGAGGGCACGAGTGGGGACTGTCCACCTGAATTTAAAACAGAAAAGAGGAGGCGCTTCTTTACACAAAGAGTGGTGGGAGTAGGCAACAAGCTCTTCAGCCATGCTATTGAAGCCCGTACTCTGGCTTCTTTTAAAAAAACAGCTGGATGAGTTCAATTAATTACTAATTACTAATTGGTAACCTTTCTCCTGTGTCCTTGGCCTTTTCCCCTGCCCTGAGTAGTTATCTCTCTGTCTGAGCCTCTCAGGTGTGTGAATGCTAGACAGACCTTTCCAGTTTTCCGCTGTCTGCAGGGAGGTCGAATTTAAAGATGAAGATTAACCCCCAAAGCAGATTAAAAGAAGGATTGTCTTCTGTAAAGGAGTCCGCCTGTGCAAATCATGCAGCAGGGTTTTATATTTAGTCCTTATTTAAAACTCCTCCAGGCCACAGTCGGAGAGGCTAAGCCTTCTCTGGAGGAAGGTTCAGACCGAACTAAGGAGCAGCAGGGAGGAGAGCGTCTGTTTTTTTGCAACAAGGGGATGAATACATTCAGAGGGGTGGGGAATCTGCTCAGTTCATAAGATTTACTCCTCCGGGCAAGGATAAAATTTGGGTTTTATCCTTTTTCTTCAGAAGGTTTTTTTTTTTTCCCGGCGGCATTCAGAACGATCCAGTGGAAACGATAAATACAGGCTGTTCTCTCTTGTCCCGTTCGATGAGCCAATAAATATACTGAAGGAGCACAACTGAGGTGACAGATTTCGAGGCCGTTCGGCTCATTTGCCCCAGTAGATAGTAGACAGTTGATCCCAGCATCTCGCCCTGAAGCAAGTCAGTGAAGACCATGTGGGAACTTGTTCCACGCTCCCGCAACTCATTGTGTAACAAGGTGCCTCTGTTATTCCGTTTTGAATACTGTACACTTGCACTCCGTGATGTATATGTAGGTGATCCTCTGGGATGTGAAGCGTGGGGGTTCCTTCGCTCACTCTCTTCCTCGCTCTCTCCTTCCGTCACAGCATTCATCCAGGAGCTGCAGAAGAGGGGCTCCTCGTAGTGGCTCAGCTGCACAGCAGGGACCTGCAGCACGCTGGAGGGAGCCTGGAGGAGGCCGGCACCGCCGAGCCCCAGCCGCCGAACCAGGCACCCCTCAACCCCACCCCCCTACCCCCTTCACCAAGACCAGACGGGGGGGCGCAGCCCAGAGCGGGCGGCTCTCGCCTCCCCGTACCCCGATTCTTCACGCGCGGTTTTAGAACCACTGCTGAGCCCCGCGACGCCCTCGGCAGCCGCAGAGCCGCTTTCGCTTCATTTTCTTAGCCGGGGGGGTGTTTTCCCATTCATTTCTTTACTGCGTTCCCCCCCCCTCCCCTGGGAAGGAGCCCCCTGTGCCGTGAAAGAGGGAGCGTGGGTCTCGCCTTCGTCCCCGCGCCTCCTGGCGGAGCTCGGCCGCACCCCTCGCAGCTCGCCCAGGTCGAGCCCCCTCCTGACAGAGCTCCGCGGGTTTGGACGAGGTCTGCAGGGAATACCGGGGCGGGCTTGACGCAGGGGGACCCGAGTGGGGACGCCCTCTCCGGCACTGGACTCCCGTTCCCAGATGGGACAGTCCTCTTCGTTCTTGAGTTCGAAGGAGAGCGGGGTGTCCGGGGCGGGTTGACCTTCAGTGCGCCTGTGCCAGTG